CGCTGCCAGTTTCAGATCATGTACATCCACTCTCTTCCTTTCTTCGATTATTTCGTTGCTGAAGCCAGCAAGGTAATTTCGGATTTTTTCACCGTAATTATCGAAAGCAATCTTGAAATCTAACTTTATTTGCGATATAACTTCATCCACATATTGTTTGTTTGAAACATCAGCGGCATCTGTTGGCAGTTTTACGTTACACATCTTCAAATGACCAACATCAATATCACCGGTTGGAGTATGTGAAAATCCAGATCTGACTGTCACCATCTGAGCTGAGCGTGGAAACGAGCCACGTCCGAATTTGTCGAGACTCATTATGCTAATGACTAAAGTATTGTACGTTATCGATAATGGTCGGCACTTTGCATCGCCAATTATTAGCCCCTTCACTCATAGACATGCCATGAAAGTGTCACAGAAGTGTCAAGGAAGTGTAACGGAAGTTCACGGAAGTGTCAAGGAAGTGTCACGGAACTGTCACGGAACTGTCACGGAAGTGTCAAGGAAGTGTCACGGAACTGTCATGGAAGTTGTCATGGAAGTGTTACGGAAGTATCACAGAAATGTCACACATGTTTTATTATGCCTGCCTCTTCTAATTCATTCAAGATGGCAACAATCTCGTTATCGTTTGATGTATTTCCGGCTTGCTGTGATGCAATGAGCAACTTCAATCTATCTACCAATTCGTTTGGATCATCCCAATACATGTATTCGATAGGTGCTGTGTTGTATGTCAACTTCAAACCACGACCACTGGAATTGGATCTGAACATTGGACGAATAATTTCTACGTATTTGAGTCTAGAGGAAGACTTCATACGTCCTGCAGAATTCAGATGAGCTTTGGTGAGCAAGAGTATTTGCTTGTATGGGTTCGTATCATCTTTGGCAAAGGATGGATCATTATAGAAGAGTAATTGATAGAGGCCTGGGGTGCCACGGAACCGAAAGCCATCAAGAAGTATATCTCCAGTTCTTCGATGGAAATTCATTTCTTTTCCGTTGAGGGACCATTTCGATGTTACTGGATCATATTTGGGGCCATAAACCGTATCGATATTTTCATCATTTGTCCAGTATTCAGTCAGATATTTTTGAGCCATCGCAGGATACTGATCAACGTAATCATGTATTGCAGCCGGTGAGATATTTTCACTTTCTACAAGAAGTTCATCATCAGCATCGTCATAACCATCCTCATCATCATCTTCAGTATGCCCAACATTATCAGCCACATCCATCATAGGTATGAAATTAGTTTGGTTCAAATCCGATTGCTCCCTCTCCAACTCCTCATCCTCTTCCTCCTTCTTCTCCTTCTTCAACCCCAACGATTTTGCTCTGCTTCGCTTGATGTTTGAAAGCGTTCCATCGAGTTCTTCTTTTATTACCTTGGACGTGGTGGCAATTTGTTTCAAAGGTGATGTCAGTGGTTGGAATATTTTCTGTAACGCATCATCATCCTCAGACTTGCCCAATTTTAGTGCTAAATATTTTCTTCTGATTGATTTCGATAGTTCGTTGATTTTTTTCTTGCGCAGCGCATCAGCAACATCATCATGCATCTTGGTTGACGTCATCTTGATGAATGGTCCAGAGATCACAGTCTTATGAACTTATCGGAACCATTTCTATATCTGCCAGCATTCATATCGAAAGTTTTTGCAATCACCATCGCACCATATTGGTTGGAATTCCAACACTCTGAGCACAATGCTTTGAATTGATCGAATGACATGTCTGGTGAGACATGCTCGTCGAACACATGCTTCAAATTCATTTCATCCTGTCGAAATAACACCAACAGGTTACTGTTGTCTCGCACCAGCTGCTTCGGTATCTTAGAAAAAGTCTGGCATAGGTATGCTACGTCAATATCCTTGTGTCTACACATTGAAAAATATTCTCGAATTTTTTGCTGCTTGTCGCATGATACATCATCAAAAATGAATATCGAATTATTTTTCGCTTATGATGGACTGATGACATCATCATTTTCTTTAAAGGGAAAATACCCAACACCTTTCACTGAATCCAACACTTGTTGCAGCAATTGATATTTCGGTTGGTACAATGACTTTGAATACACGTAAACGTTCTTGAATTTCGCGCCATTTGGATTGAACAGCAGGGAAAGCATCGCATTGGTCTTTCCACATCCGCTTGGTCCGCAGAAGATTGCTCTGAACGAATGGGGAAGCAGTTTCCCATGTTTACTATTTACTGGTGGTTTGGTTGACAAAATTTCATCCAAATTCACAATGGGTAACATCCGTTCTTGTTGAATGATCTTCATCATGTGATGATATATTTTTCATTTCATTAGGTATATGCAGAGTTGTCGAACTTCCTACACATCAGTCTTCATGTTGCTCTACCACGGAGAGGGTGTGCTTAATTCTCTGATCGATAAACTTCCCATCGAATTACACATTCCAGGCTACAGATTTTGTGGTCCAGGTACCAAACTCGATAAAAGACTTGCAAGAGGAGACACCGGTATCAATCCGTTGGACGACGCGTGTCGAGTACACGATATCGCCTATTCACAAAATTCCTCAATAGAAGACAGGCACAAAGCTGATTGGATATTGGAAAATAGAGCGTGGGAGAGAGTCAAGTCGAAGAACGCTAAATTCAAAGAGAAGGCTGCTGCTTGGCTTGTCACCACCGGAATGAAGGTCAAACGAAAACTTGGCATGGGTCTTGTATCACAGCAATCCCTATCCAACATTATCAAATTCATAAAAAATGTACTATCAAAGTCAGATGGTGGTGGTGGTGGTAGTACATCAGGAAGTGGTCTGAATAAATCTGCATTGAAAGCACTCCGTGCAGCCAGAATGGCAATCAAGAGGGCTGGCGGTAAAAAAAAAATCAGAGTACCAAGAATCATACCTCTTCCACACAGTGGCGGTATACTACCATTGATACCAATCTTTGCCGCCTTGGGAGCCCTAGGATCTCTAGCTGGAGGAGCCGGAGCAGTCGCAAAGACAGTCATTGATGCAAAAAATGCAAAGAAAAAGCTCGAAGAAGATCAAAGACATAATGAAGCAATGGAGGCCATCGGCAAGCAGGGTTCCGGCCTATTTCTACGCAAAACATCGAGAGGATTCGGACTGTACTTGAAGAAACAATCAAAAAACTCAAAAAACTTCTAGACAAGCTACCCAATAAATCAATGTACGATAAAGATGTGATAAAGTATGCCAAACAGCTGAAAATACCGAATTTTCGAGGTGTTTTTATGCGGGACACTCTGCCTTCCACCGGTCCATGGCATCGCGAGTGTGCTGTATTGAATTTGGATACCTCCAATCATGCGGGCACTCATTGGGTGGCTTACATAAAAAAAGATAAAAAAGCCTTATATTTCGATAGTTATGGCAATCTGAAACCGCCCAGAGAATTGGCGCAATATTTGGGTGCCAGCACGAAAATCTTGTACAATAACAATCAATACCAAAATTTCAATCAAAGTAATTGTGGACGTCTATGTTTAGAATTCCTTTTTAATGAGACCAAGTAACTCGGTCATTGTGCATCAGTCATGTCTCTGATTGTGACGTTGAAAGGTCGTACATCTACGCTCTCCATAGACTTTTTGACACCACTTCAACTCGATCCAGACTCTGATTACGGACTAGCATTATTGGGATTCCATTCATACAACAGTATACCAAATATCGACAAAGGATCAAAGTTTTATCTGCAAGATAAGACCAAGGCGGGAAAGATCATCGATATTCCCGAAGGTTCATACGACATTGTGGACATTGAGACATTCATACGCAAAGAATTGGGCATCTCAAGTGCAAAGGACGTTGATGATATATTCTCGTTGAAGCCCAACAATAATACACTAAAGTGTGAGATTTCGAGCAAACAGTTTGCCATTGATTTTCGTCCAAAGGATAGCATAGCTCAAGTCTTGGGATTTTCAAATAGATTGTTGAACGAACAACAAGTCCACACTTCCGATTTGCCGGTCAGCATAACCAAAGTGAGAACCATTCACATTGATAGCAACGTTACTGCTGGAGCTCTCTTACAACGACAGACCATCACATACGATCTACGAGTTTGCAGTTGCAGTCGATCCTGGTTACGCCATAGACGAGACTCCCAGAAATCTAATCTATCTACCTATAGTCAGCAGGCGGGAATTGCCCAACATTACACTCCAGATTCTAGACCAAGATTTCAGGCAGGTGAATTTTAGAGGTGAAGAAATCATCATAAGATTGGAATTGAAGAAACTCGCAAGATGGTACTAGTGTTTGATTACTCCTATAAATCAGATAATATACCATCATCAGCAACATCATCGGCACCAGTTCTCTCGACACCGTGCACCAAAGCAGTCGTGTCTTCGAAGAGCAGCAGCAGCAGCAGCAACAGAAAAACATTGACATTATCCAGTGTCCTGTTTCTGAAATCATTCAAAGACTACAATGTTGTTAGCACCCGTGTTCGACGTTTTCCGCAAACCCAGACTCGACGAAAGCATCACTAAAGTGGAATGGCGTACCTATTATCCATATGTGAAATCATTCGAGAACAATGATGTCATCGATATAACGGTTAATCAAGCAGATTCGTGGTTGGCCATGTTTGAAGGCATCATTACCATCAAGGGTAAATTGAAGGTGACCGGTGGTGGTACTGGTACATTAACCCACAATGCTGGAGCTTATCTCTTTGATTCCTGCACCTATGAATTATGTAATGAAGAATTGGACACTGTCAGATATCCTGGAATAACGAGTACTGTGCGAGGATACTTGTGTTATACACCTGAAGACTCACGTCATCTAGCCATAGCAGGCTGGAACTATCCCAATGCTCCGATCCTCAACACCGATGGTACGTTTAGCATGAACATTCCACTGAAACATTTGTTTTCCATCTTCAATGATCATCAAGTGGCAACGTGGGGCAAGCAGTCAATCCGTTTAGTGAGAGCTCGCAATGATGCCAATAGTGTGAAGGTTGTCGAGAGAGCGAATACTGCTTTGCAAGGATCTCCTCAGACTCAGAGTATTGCTAAAATAACGATAGAAAGCATCAATTTGAAAGTGCCACATCTCACACCCAACGATGACATAAAGTTGCAGTTGTTGACACGTATCAAAGCAGATGAGTCTATGATGATACCGTTTCGCCGATGGGAATTGCACGAGCTACCAGCACTCACACAAGGATCTACCATAGAAATCTGGTCCGTAAAGACATGTTCTGCATTGGACAGTCCAAGATATGTTATAGTATTTTTCCAAACGAAAAAAGCTGATAATTTGCATGAGGATGTCACCTTGTTCGATAATGCCAACATCAAATCCATACGATTGGCTCTGAATAGCGACTATTATCCGCAAGAACGAATGCTATTGGACTTTTCCCGAGACCAATATGCCGATGCCCACTTCAACTATACAGAGTTCAACAAGAGCTACCATAACTGTCAAGAAAAGCGCTCTCTAGTAAACTTTGCCGAATTCAAATCCCGACCAATGTTTGTTATCGATTGCTCGAGGCGCCATCTGGGTCTGAAGTCGTCCACAGTTGACATAAAGTTGGACATTGAAGCGACTACAGGCTTCCCTCCCGACACCAAAGCCTATTGCATCATCATTCACGATCAAATCATGGAACATCTCCCACTCAGCGAAATTGTTCGAAATATTGCCTAGGTGGGTGTTGCTGCATCAGTCAGACATCAGTTTGCTTCGAAGAGTCATGGAGATCACACTGGTTGACATTCAAGGGTTCACGGTTGATGGTGAATTCATTCCAAAGGAAATGACCATTCGCATTGGCAAAAAGACGAGTCATTTTCTATTCAAGCCATCTGTAGAATTTTCCAGTTTGAACAAAGAAGATAAAAAGATGGCAAATCACCTGGAACGCTATGTGCATGGTTTGAGATATTCCAGTGGTTATGTGGATTTGAATGAGTTGGATCAAATACTACGAGATAATCTGCAGCAGACAAACATCATCTACGTAAGAGGTCATCAAAAGATTCAGTTTTTGCAACGAAAATGTGCAGAGTTGGAGATGACCAATCACATTGTTAATTTGGAAGATTTTGACAATTCTTGGTGGCAGCCAATAACGTTCCTACAATCCATTCCACCCTGCATGAATCATTTCCATGGAGGAAGGTTCCAGTGCAGTCTCCACAATGTCGATACTTTATATAATTGGTTATGTAATTTATTGCCAAAATAAAAAACTATATATCGTAATTTCAGAGTTTTTATTCATCACATCCCTTATTTCTCAGTATAATGAAAATAACATGCGAGATTAAAATGAGTGAACATATTAGTGTACAACAAAGTGTCAAAATTGCAATGATATTGACAGAATCTTGATCATCATCTAATTTTGCGGGTGATTTCTTCAATGTAAATGTCTGCCAGTCTCCCATTTCGCCGTCACTGCCATCAGAAAACGATAATTTCAATTTGTAGTCGATTGTGGTCCCATTGACTCGAGGCATGTCGATTGAATATACAGGTAGTTTGTTATCGTTGACATACATTCTACTCATCAGCTTCCAATCACACTGTTGTGTACGATTCACATCAAAACATACGGCCGCATTCCTCGTATTGTACGGTATGTTTGTGTAGAAGACGTTGTTGCTCAGAGCTGTCAATAGAATGAAGCTTGCTTTCAGTATCGCCATCTAGTAGCTGTGTTGGTTGGATTCTTCTCGATGTAGGAAACGTTGCAACTGAACGTCTTGGTTCTGTGAACACCTTGTCCCAAACACTCAATTGCTCGAAATCTTTGAACAAACAAACTTTCTGCTCATACAATTGGATGTCTGCACTGAGCTTTCTAACTTTCAACCCAAATTCTTCTAGTGCACGTCTGTATTCGTCAGAAGACATGATACAACTGTTTTTTACATCCATACCTTCAACTAATATCCATCCAATCTCTCTCTCTCTCTCTTTCTCTCTCTCTCTCTCTCTCTCTCTCTTTCTCTCTCTTCTTCTCACTTTTTTACCCTCTCACTCTCTCTTACACTCACTACCCATCCCAATGATACACAGAAAATTTCAATAGTTATTTTATTAATGATAGATAGACAGCATATATTATATTTACATTAATAGCCAGGACAAGTATTACATTTTCATAAGAAAAAACATATTCTGAAAAAAAAAGTCATTTTTCATTGTCTTCTTTCGCAAACTACATTTGTAAAGATGATATCATGCTACTAAAATCTGTAACATATTGTTAAAGTAAGTCAAGAATCAATATCTGTATGTTCATCACCAGAATCGATGAATCTCTCATAATGATAATGTGAATCATGTAAATCCATATCACATTCATATCGTTCTTTGAGCCCAAATAATAATTCTAAATCTAAAACAGAGGAGTGTAAGTGTAGGTGTATGGTTTTTTTTTCTTTATAAATGTTTGATGAGTTGATTTACATGAAAAAATTTCTCTTCTGCCTGTGTATGACCCCATGGCAATGTGTCAAACGAACCTGGAATCAAATACCGTTTATCATCTTTGGGACTCAGAGCAATTTTTGATTGTTGAATGCTAAACACATTGTGGGCATATGAACGGATAGTACGTTGAGACACTGTTTGTGCTCCGAAATTCTTCAAACAATTCAAATAATCTTCGAACCCAATTTTATTCTTGACAACATTAGTTTTCACCCCTTTCGATTTTTTGACAACCTTACCCCCTTGTACTTTATATGCATACATTTTCGAACGTAGTCCTACGAAATTAGTAACGATTTTCCCATTTGCTTCATCTTTTAATAAACCCAACTTTTTTTTATTGACTAGTGGCATATTATATTTATTATCTGGAGCATATTCAGATGTGTCAAATTGAGAGAGATCAGCCTTTATAACTTCTTCATATGCATCATCACATTTCAATTCATATATGAAGCTGTCTGTATCCATATATAACAATTTACACCTTTCAATACCCATTTTCAGAATCATATACTCATAGTGAAATTTGTACATACACAATTTTGATAAATCTAAAATGGCCATTCCTACGTATAGAGGTTTATTGAAAATTATTTCGGTTTTCTGCATTTCTATGGCAATCAAGTTTTCTTCAAAAATTGTTCTACCACGGAATCGTGGACTAGCTATGAGATTTCTGGCTCCATAACGTCCCTGCCATGACCTTACTAGTTTCACTAATCTATGTTTTCGTATGTTTTCCATCGTCTTACCGAAAACTGCATTATTCATTAGTTTATAGAGATTTTTCTCAAATTCATTTGTTGCGGCAGTCCTCAAAGAAGTATTCAGATCTATATATGATTTGAGCCAAAAAGATTGCCTGAATTTCAAAATTTTGTGGATTTTCGTCAGTTTCAGTCCGTTTGCTAAACATTGTTTCAAATTTCTATAGTGTAAAATATAATCTTTTTTGTCGTAAAGTGTTGTCATTAATTTTGGTAATTTTGAGCCGGGTGGTATGCGATGTTCAGCAGCAAATGGAAAGTCTTTGTGATTGTTATGCAAGTCGCGAGGATATTCTAAGTCTACTTGTAAAATATATCCTTCAAGAGCATCATCAGCAATATTCATTACGTTGAAATTTTCAACGTTTTCCATCCATGAGAAATCTCCGAATGGTAAAGACTCTGACATTGCCCAACCGTACAAATTATTTACATCTAAATACATGAGATATTTTGAAGGTTTATTGGAATCATATTCAGACATATACTTGTTATTAGCTTCTGAATACCTACCACTACAAACAGAAATACCACCACGTAATGCCTTCTCGATGAACATGATTTTATCAACGTCATTCAATAATTCCAGTTTGCATTTGGTGTACTTTAACATGGCATCCCATGTTTATCCAGGCATGGTATAGTACCATGCTGGATCTAACCCATAAGTTGTCCTACATTTCTGCCGGAATTTCTCTAAAACAGCGGTCAACAACATAACGTCTGTTTTTAAATATAAGTCAGAATATTCCCCTAAATTTTGAATTTTGAATGATGACCATACCTTTTGAGCATGGGCGTACTGCTCATCGCTAATGTGTTCATCATTCAATTTATTATAAAAATATTTCTTTGTAGGTAATTCAGTATCATTCAATTTTTCCAAACAACTAATGTAATCGTAGGGAAAGACACCCTTCTTGGTGAGAAGGTTGAATGTATCATCGTTCAAATGACTGAATTCTTCTTTCAAAATTCCAAAATCTTTTCTATCCATGATTGAAGATAATTCATCTAAGGCTGTACCCATGAAGCGAAAAGAGTCAATAAATCGGAATTTGATGTCTGTATTGTCATCATGTAAAGTGAAAGATATGTACTTTTCCATGTTTATTGGAAGTATGCTCATACGGCCCTTTTTACTCAATTGACTGATCATGAAATGTGAATCATATCCTATCAGGTTGTGAAATGCAATTGGAACAACAAAGAGTTTCTTGAAATTTATGTTACAGGGTGCTTGATGCGCCCTCCCCCTGAACTCGCCTGAAAAGTGATTATGATCAGCTACGATAATGTCTTTCTCCCTGAATGGTTTCTCACAAATATGACAGATTTTTGCTTTGCATTCGTCAGGACTAACAGTCATTGGCACGATTGTTTTGATTTTAGATTGCACGATTTCAGCTATCTTCGACATTCCATTCGCAAACCAATCCATACAATCTTCACCCCTATGGCTATTGAAAAACGACAAGGAATCATCGAAATCACATTCAAAATAATAGCCTGCACTATGAGCCACATGTTTCTGATATTTGCTTGTTTTTGATGAAACCATATCATCCACATGTTCTAATTGACATTCAAAGTCTGCATAAATTATAAAGGGGGTGGTTTGTTGGTAGGTGAAATTTTTGAATTCTATGTGATCATATTTTGGAAATGAAACTTTGCATTGGTTCAATTCAGAACACAACATTTCATGATCAATCAATTTTTGTTCACATTGAAAATAATTCATGCATCTTTCACAAATAAATTTTTTACCATTATGTTTATTCACTTGGCTTGATATTAATCTAGACATATCTTGAATCAAACAGTAATGGTATTTGATGTCAGAATCTTCTTCATCAATCGGAGGAGCCTCATAATCATTTAATTTTGGATAATATTTGTTTTGAATTAGCAATAGATTAACGTGCCTTTCTAATTTATTTTTTGTAAGTCTGGCTGGCACCACAGTATAATATGATTTTTCCTCAACTAAATTCAACTCTAATGTGTATACATTCACGGATATGTTATTGTCTTTTTCGAATTTTGGAATTTGACGTAGAGACATGGGTGCATCTGAATCTACTGTTTTCAGAACTGTAGTGTAATATGGATATGAAGAAGTCCGTTCCCTATGTGTTTTCGCTGGGTAGAAGGCACTTATGATTGACCAATAGAAACATGCCGAGTCAGTATTTTTTATATTCAAACATGCTTGCTTTTTAGAAATTTGTTCTGGCAGTCTAATAAACGATGAACCATTTCCCATTTCAAGTTTGTTAATATTAACTTCCATTGATATTATTTTATGCAAAGCC